TAGAAGTTAAAAATTTACTTGCTTCATAAAGTTTTCCAGCAAACTAAAACTCGCGAGCATGAAAAAACGTCGCACCTCTACCGCGAGGTTTTTAAACTGAACACAGAAAAAATAATACTCGGAAAATTAAAAAAATCGCATGGATCATTTTTTGCTGATATCTAATAAATGTAGAACGACTGCGATGATTTGATGGGTTAAAGCGTTTCCCGGGAAATTGAGTTTTGCCACACTTAATGTAAAGAATCCAAACACCTTCCGTACATACCGCATAGACTGTATAAAAGAATTTCTCAGCTTCTATCTTGGAAATTGGAAAATTCTTTTATACGCCTTATACGGCCTATACGGCTTGCACAGCCGATTCGACCTATGTGAACTTACAAAAAAGTGTCCGTATATTCCGTATATGCCAATTTCTGAAAATTTATTCTAATTCTGATATGAGTAGAATTTCCCGGCAATCGCTATAACGCATCATATGACTACGATGCCTGTTGTATCTTGTGCCCTGAATATGTCGTCCTGCAGAATAAGTAACGCAGTTCAAGATAGGATATTAGAGCGTACTGTCCTGTGAGAGTCTGTGGTTGGAAACTCTAAACGCAAAAATAGAAAATAATCTTTGCATAGTTTTATTTTTTTCGATTTCTACAGCAATTTATGATACATCACGATTTTGTAGACAATCTGACAAAGGATCTATTGATAAAAGCATGTTCTATCTCCCAAAATAGGGAGGGAAAATGAGAACCACGGAGAGTCATTGAGAGCTCACTCGTTCTCATTACTTGGATATGTGACATAAAAGGTATTCAAAATATTTACCTTCAATCAATGTGTTGGATAGAAATCATCTTGAATCAAATTATGCCACTGTAAGTTTGTACACTTTTTCTAACATCAAAGTAATACATAACGCATATTATCGACATGTCAACGTCTGTTTTTCAACAAATACATCATTACAAAATATTGTGTGAAGACTATGACATGCTCGATATGTGTTTTAGAGGACAAAATAGAAAAAGAACAAAATTATTGAAGCGTAATTGTATATATCAGTAAAGAAACGCACATGTGTATCTTTGTTTTTCGTTGAATATTATAACGAATAAAACAAAAACCTGTGCTCCGTCTAACAATTTTGTCTATCATTTCATTTTCTTCTTGTCTTTGTGATGGATACCACGCTTCAGAATTGATCTATGTATGAAGGAAAGATAAGATGAAAGTGCATCAATACCAAGGGGGAAAAAGCGAGACTTCATACTTCAACTACTTCGCTCGTACTTCACTCGTACTTCATCGGTGGTACTTCACTAGTACTTCGCTGGTACTTCACTGGTACTTCACCGGTACTTCACTTTACTTCGCCAATACTTCTCCGCGTAGGTAAAGTTAGCACCATACTGGAGTACTTCGTTGTCGGGATTCGCTGGGGTACCTGTGCTGGATTCATAATTTCATTCTCGATCGAATGATGCCAATTTCAATATGGGCCATCGAGAAAAAAATTGTCACACCCACCCACCCACATATCTTCCCCACACCTACACTTAGACCCGCGCCTGCGATGATACTCCTTGCGACTTACATCATTCGATACAGAACTAAATTCTGGGTTCAGCACAACCACTTTTAGACTCAGCAAAAGTTCCTAGAGGAAAACAACAGACTTTAGCTTAAAAAGTACACCAAAGTGCAGAAGTAGCTAAAAGTTGTCTAAAGTACACGAGAGTCCCTAAAGTACGTTGAAGTAGACTTGAAGTACGTTAAAGTACATTAAAGATTGTCGAAGTATCAAATACTACGGTATGGTAGGGTGAGGGTGAGGATGTGGGATGTGGGGTGTGGGGTGAGAGTGAGGATCTGAGTCAGTGGGAGGCTGGGGATGTGCAATATGAATAGATATCCACACACACGCCTTCACAATCAAAATATTCTGTTAGTTCGTAGTCGGAATGAAATTGGGTCGCAATTTGATTGAGATACTAGTGGTTGTATCAGAGATGGACAAGTCAAGTCTTTTGTCACTTGACTTGGAAAAACCTGACTTTCCCATCTTTAGAATGTATGCTTATTCACGAGCTTGAAACCACTAAAAACGACTTGAAGTAAACCTCCCTCCAGAATAAAATGCTCGTGGGTCTTCTACAATGATCGCGCACGTCGCATGCTTTTCTGGTAAAAATCCCCTACCCTTCCCTATAGGGTGTTTTTTCGATTTTTCGCTTTTGAGGTGCCTTCCAATTGAGGAGGCCCATTTATTCTGGGAAGGCCTTCTATTGCGGAAGAAAGTTTTGTCGAGGTAGCCAAACTGCCTTAAACTAGTATAAAGTACCTATAAAGTAGCTTAAAGTACCTTGAAGTATGTGTAAAGTAAACTTTAAGTCACTTCAATTATAGAATTCCGCTGTTTTCCCTCTCGAGAAGCTCTGAGTCGAACCCGGCGAAGAATTACAAGTCTTTTTAGTACCAAAAATCCTAGTTTTCCCTAAAAAATTTCAGTTTTTGGCCGATGACCCATATTGAAATTGGTATCATTCGATCGAGAATTAAATTATGAATCCAGCACAGGTACCTCAGCGAATCCGGACAACAAAGTACTCCAGTATGGTGCTAACTTTACCTACGTTGATTTTCCTTGAAATGTAATATGATCGACCTCATCTGTACACTTATAAAGTGAGATATTCAGAGTATATTGTGAAATAATCGCACATATTGGTGTTTCTGGCTCTACATATAGAACATTTGTCGTGATTCAAGTGTCAGTTTGACTGATTAATTTCATCAAAATCGAATGAAAGTTGTTGTGTGAGTACGGCTAGAGAGATTATCTTCTGACCGTTGATATACATATGATGTAGAAAGAACACAACAATATCGTTTAAATAAACAAAAAATATCATTAAATAACATATTTAGTCCCATACTGTAATCCGTGACTAGCACTTTCTTATAATTTACTGTACTTCACTGTACTTCACCGTACTTCAGTCGTACTTTACCCGTACTTCATTGGTACTTTATTGGTACTTCACCGATACTTCAGTGATACTTCAATGGTACTTCGCTAGTACTTCGTTTTACTTCACATAGACTGTGAAGTAAATGAATTATCGCTTTTCCCCCCTTGATCAATACACACTGAAGTAAGGACATATAGAGAATAATCCGATAAGCAAATGTAATCGAACCGATAAATATCATGGATACAGCGCATGTAGAGTGTAAACAAAAGGTATACCACCAAACAGAGCCCGAAACGAGGCACTTCGCCTCGCCTTACTTTTTCCGAGGCGTGGCGAGCAGTGTCACCTCGACTTTTACTGATATTAGTATTATTGAGAATTTACCCATATTGCTGATTCTTTGATTTTATAGACAACAAGCGCATACTGTCTCTGACTGAATGGGAAACCTTATTCGTGTGCTCTTTCGTGCAGTTTTACCATTAAATATCATGTTATTTAACTATTTATTTTGAAAATCTAAGATCAATTTTGTTCAGAAATCTATGAATAGTATTTAAATTCTGACTTGTTCTCTAATATTCGATGAAGCATATTGTAGATTTTTCTCACACTGCAGAATCAATTGCAACACTTTTGAAGAATATTGAAGATGACTATAGAAACATAAATGATCTAAGAAAAGGATTAATAATACTCTCTTTCATATCATCTGTATTTCCTGATCGGGTAGCAGATAGCCATCCCTTTCAAATTATTTTAGGGTTCATGACTTGTTTTCTTTGTTAACTTATTAGGAATTATAAAATCATACACAAGAGATAGATAAAAACCCTAACACACTGGACACTGGAAAGTACCACGAAACTATGTGATACTCTTAACCGCAGTGTCACCAACTGGAACCGTTTTGATCATAGCAACAATAAACTAGCGGTGTACCGCTCGCGCTCTCGCCCATGAGCGCTCATATGAGCGGGAGCGGTACACCCCTACAATAAACTTAACAATAAAGTTAAGGTTTTTAATAGCGAAAAATGTTCATCAATGTATAACGAGTGATATTAACTGTATGAATCGAGTATAAGGTATGTTTGATCTATTATCTGAAACCGACAGTGCCAATAAGGAACAGAAGTCTGAGGAATCAAAGATCAGCGATTTTCAGATTAATGAATGTTTCTTAGACGCAGTAGATGTTTATAAAGAAACTTATTCTAGAATATATTCGTACGATGAGAAACTGGAAGAGCATTTGGTAGCAGTAGCGTTAACAAATATATTCTCAGTACTATTTTCTGTAACGTTAAAAAAGTAGAGGCACGGCAGCAAAATATTGCCTCGTTCTGCTCTCTGCCACCGAACACATCAAAAAGGCTTCGTAGACGTCAAAGGCTTGCAAATGTGTCAACATGTTGAAATAAATAGTTTTTATAATCTGCGAGACCGAACAACGATCGGTCGACAGGCACATGCTCCAAACCATCGTCTCGAAACCGTTTTAGGTTTCGTACTCTACCAATAAAGTTTCACCACAAAAATTCGAAGACTCAAGGTTTCGCAGATTTTGAAAACTATATGTTTCAACATGTCGACACATTTGCAAGCCTTCGATACCTACGAAACCTTTTTGAAGGGTTCGATAGTGCACCTTTTTTACAGTGTGCCCATGTCGAAAACTACGGGCTGGATCCAGTTAAAGGATTTCTGCTTCCACTCTCCGCTGGTTTGCGGCGGGTTCCTGTAGGAATTACGTGAATCTGGGAGCCGAAGCATTGCTCTGGGTAAGCGAGAACGTCACGCACACATTCGCATTATCATCATGTTTATTATTCGTTCTTAAAGTACGGAGTGAGATAGATACTGATATTTTGAAATAAAAAAATACAAATATTCACCACTAACTACCAGAGAAGCAAAATTAAATAATAAAAGAAGTACAAAAGCAATTTTAAAAAATCCAAGTTCTCAGATCATTATGTTTTCTTTAGCTTTTTGAGTCTTTTATGAAATGGCAACAGTTTAATCATATTGATCGTTGACATTTTTAATAGGATTGCTCGAATGTTCAGCTGTGGCACTTGATGATGGATTACCATCTTGAGCTCTACTTGAAATATAATTATTTACCTTTTCACGAATGTCCGATACTGGAAGTTTATAAATAAGCATTCCTATATCATTAGAAAAAGATTAGAAAATCTCATTTTACTGGTTTTAAGAAAGATAGAAATCAAACTTTGATCATCATATAGAACATGCTTAAGCATCGTATTAAGATTTGAGTCAAATGGCAATTGTAATTGATTGTTTGATGATCGACATTCAATTAATTTTTTCAGCCATTTTTTAACAATATCCGTTTTTATCTTATTAGCTGAATTTTGAAAAAAATCTTCTAAAAACCCGTATGCATTTTGAATTTTTTCATATTCATAAGCTAAATAATAGAAAAATAGATATTATTAAATTTATATGCAAAACAAACCTTGTACAAGCATATCAAATATATCTAGATCTTTCACAAGCTTTGCTTCATTTGTCTTTTGCTCGACATATTCATTAAATAACGAAAATATTTCTGTTCCAACATGAGTGGGTAACAAACGTGTTAAATAATCCATTGCCTCAGTTTCACGTCGATGTTTTTCACTTTTTGAGATATCATCAAGTTCAGTTAAGTCGCCGACAATTGATTCACTTAAGTCATGTACCAGTGCTAATTTCATACAAAGAACTTTTGACTGATCGGATACAGATGGCAACAAAAAAGACATAATAGCCATACGGTACATATGATCCGCAACACTTTCTACTCTTTCAACACCACATAAAATCCACCCTGTCCGAAATGTTCGTTTGGCTTGCCCAACATATAGTAGGAACTTTAAAAGATCATCAACATTAGTATCATTCACTTGGTTATTAGCCATACTATTCTTGATCTAAAAAGAGGATAGATTGCTCTTTTTATAGGATTTGATGCGTTATAGCGTTTCTCGGGAAATTGAATTTTGTCACACTTTATGCGAAGAATCCAAACGCCTTCCATATAGTTCATATAGCAGACTTTCTCAATTTCGAAAATGGGAATTGGAGAATTCTGCTATAAGGATTATACGAAGACCAGATCTACATTTAACTGTGAATCGGGTGCTGACTGTTTAAATACGACATCCTTTGAATAGTTTCGAGGCATCTTCACTCGTGAGTATCAATGAATTCGTGATGGCAGACTATACGGACACTTTTTTAAGAGTCTGTATATGACAATTTCCGGAAATTTATTCTAGTTCTTAAATGCATACAATTTCCCGGTAATCACTATAGCCATCATATGCATCTGAACGCAGCTAAAAAGAGCTCTGACGGCTTCTCAACGTGATCATGCACAAAATTGCATCATCATAGAAGGGAAAATTATTTCGTTTTGCGCTCAGACGCGTTTATCCTGCGTCTCGTGTTTACATGGGTGGTTGTGTCAAATAATGATAGTGTAGGTTATACTAGCTTGGGCTTCCCAGTGCTTTCAATCAAATAGTATCCCATACTAAAGGATGTGTCGTAATGTGGTCTATCTCCAATAAAATCATCAGTTTGGACACGCAAGTACAACGCGAGAAAAATTCGAAACACTAATAGTCACTAGTAAACCACATATCTCAAGTTTCTGATATCCAATGTATCCGAGACTTGAAACAACAGGTAACGCGACACAGTAGCGGCTAAACTCTCTACTGAAAGGGCATCATTAGATCTCTCATGTTCTTGAGAGAACAGCAATAAAAAATATTTCATTGTAGTGATACAATCATTTGATAATTTGTTCCAATCTTTTATTCACACTCATTTCGCTTATGAAATCTTTTGAAAGTAACGCCTAGTCGTTCGTCAGCCTCCCTCCGATCGGTCACTCACGGCTAGTCGTTACTATGGCTACCTTCGTTTTGCCTTTCACTTTTCATTACATTTCAAGTTGAATAACTATGTTTCCTTTCACTATTACTTCCAAAGTTCTTATCTTCCATTCATTTGGCTACAAAAAAAACCGATAAACAGTTTTATTTTATGATTTACCGCGAAAAGAGCATTCATCAAAGTGCTTCGTGTGTTTAAAATATAATTTGCATAGTCGATGCCACTGTAGCTGATAAGATGGAACTCCACTAACTGACATACACTGAAAAAAAGCTTTCAACGCAATCCCTAACGGGATAAAAATGTGAAACACGATCAAGCTGGAGAAACTGAACAGATAGAGTAACCGAGGTTTTGTCACCGTGCTTTCCTATGTATTTAGATCTATGCTATTGAAAACAACATATCACTGTCAATAACGGTGCGTGCTGCTGCTTGAGAAAGTCTTTCTTCATCGATCAGAATATGCAATGCTTCTTATTGTGTTCAATTAATTGATCACGGTTTGGATGCGATAGACGCGTGTCGATCTAACGAAGTCGAGAATGAACTTGTGTGTAAGATGCTGATACACAGTTTGTGTGGCTTTTCCGGGGGCAAACTATTTCTTCATTCATAAGGTGCACATTTTTACAGACAACAGAACAGATCGAATATCCGTCAAGTATTACAGTCGCTGTATGAAAGACGGGTTAGAGGTCATAGGTGTGCCAAAGGAGAGGCCACACCCTCAAATCCCATTTCAGTCAGTAATGGCCTATGCGGATAAGGAATAGCGAGCGAAAACTTCTCTTTCTATCCCACAGTCGTTCAGTAAATTCTGTTAAAAAAGAAACAAATGAACTGCTAGCTTAATAGTAAATACGCCCACTGTAGGAGGTAGTTTTCACTAAATTGAGTATCAGGAATTTGAATCTTAACTAGTAGTAGTTCGCGCTCGATGAGCTTCAGTTTGTATATTCCCTCTACTGAAAGGAGGGTTATGCGTCGAGCAGGTATTACAAAAAAAACGAGTTGATGTTGGTTGGTTGGTTGGTTGGTTGGTTCGTTCTTTCACATCACTGTTCGATAGTGACTA